GGGTTGACTGATTGGTAGTGTTGCCGGAGGAAGCATGGCAGCACAGGGTGGGGGTCGAAGAAGGGGCAACGCGAACGTTATTATCTTTAACCCCCCCCCCTCCCCACAACCCGACGTCCAGCAGCTTCCATTGCCGGATTTCTGAGCTTGACCATTGCTACACTATGTTCCTGTGTTCGGAAGGTTGTTTTTTGGCCGTTCTCTGAGAGGTGCGAGCCAGAGCCTGCTTGCCTTCGACTGATGCACATGTATAGGTGATCCTCCTGCGCTGGCCAATGCTGAGGATCGGCATTTATTCGACAAGTGGGACTATGGATTATTTACCCAAACTCGTGCCCAAATTGCCAGGCTCCATATTGCAAATGGAACCCCGCACAGGGCAGCATTCAGAGAAATCAATATGCAAACTTGCACGAAAACATGAGCTTGCCAGCCGTGATTCCGAGTTTGGACCATTCACTCAGCTCATTCAAGTTGCAGCCCTGGCACGATCGGCCGCGTATGCTCATGTAGTTCAGCGTGTCGAGCGCGCGCTCAGCATCAGCAACACCTCAAGTGTCTTCCCGGATGCTGCACAGTATGGGCAACACTTAACTTCATGCAGTCGTTGTGCCAGACAACTTACCACTCGAGCAGCAGCCCCTCGAGATGCGGCAAGTCGCAGAACTGCACTGCTTTCTGAGGAATGCTGGCAACTGAGAGAATAGGAATGAAACAATTGACAAGCATATTCGCCTCGACTTCTAAACAATCAGGCCAGGATCTGGTCTTGTTTCCCCCTTCCCAACCATGAGCCCCCAACCCTCCTGCAACTTTGCTGGGACCCTTCTCTTTCCCTGACACTTCCTGGGACCATTCTGGTACCCCCCAGGACCCTGCCTGGACATCCGACCCTAGCCTTGTGCTTTGATACTCCACCCACCCTTGGACCCCTCCTAGGACCGTTGAGCATACTACACCCCCGCGTTGGGCCAGGCCGGCTGCCGAGGCAGCGCGCAAGCGTTCACAATAAGCTTTGCAGAGTCAGCAACTCCACAAGAACGTCGTGCAGCAGGGTCTCTGTGGAAGTTGACGTAGCCGTACCGAAATGATTTGCGAGTCACCGCGTCACGGCCTTATACACCAGGATGATGCACGTTACACCGGCAGTAATGTTGTCGTTGAAATCTGCTGCGGAACACCGGCGCACGTGACTAGTGGCATAGCGTCATGCAGTGAAGAACTCTAAGACGATCTTGGAAGCAGGTGCAATTCAATCAAGCTGTGGTTTGCGATCGCAAGCTGAGGCTTGGGCAAACACGTATGGACGCAACTGGCCCAACGGCGTTGAAGATCTCATACAGCATTGCCTGACCAGAAACCCTCAGTGACTTACGAGATGGACAGGTGTAGCCCGCTTCCTAGCTTGTATTAGCTTGTGGTGTAAGGAGAGGCAGGATTCCTGCTTGCATTGTGGTACGTAGGTGCAGCATTGCTGAGGGCAAGCTGGCGCATCGTATGGCTGTAGCTGCGTCGCCTCGGTGACATCCGGGTGCAAGTCTCCAACATACAGGGAGGCGAACTGTGGCGCGGATGGCCCAGACCTTGGCAAGCCATAAAACATGGAACCAGCTAAGCGCAGAATTGAAGGATGACGTCCGAAGCAGATGATAGGCATCGGCTCTCACTCTCCTAGCTGCTTCATTGAGAACTCTCTTCGGCAGGACACTTTCCGATTTATCCAGCAATCAGTGTCATCTCAGTATCCCTCCGCAGAACCCGCTGATGCTATATAGGCGTTTGCAGTCAAAGTCTGTGACATTCTGCTGCGCACTGCCAGCCGCAGAGGTTTCCACGCCAGCTCGACCAGAAAATTTTGTGGTAGAAAGAGATGTTTGGTATGTTTTGATGTGTTGCGCCCTTATTTGTGCGCCTGGAGCCTGCCCTGTCTGCGTGTGAATCATGGCGGGTCTTGTTCTGGCTGAGGATTTAAAGTAATGCTTGGCTGTACCTGCTGACACCATTCCAATGATGTGACTGCAAGCCAAGCTGCGGACGAGTCTAGAAGCAAGTGAGAGACTGTCTCAGTGCATCTGCGACAGATGTTCCAACGGCGAAGCTACTGCAGGATTCGAGGACACTGGCACTGCTTGCGTAAGCTTGTATCTGGTGCATCTCGTACGTCTGGTTGAGTCGGAAATCAACCATGAACATCACACTACCCCAAACAATTGGCGCAACCGTATCGGATGCATCACTGCAACTGGCAACAGCGCAGGCTAGCGGCTCTGAATTCGCCACCCCAAGCTTCTGGAATCTTCACAGTTCAGTCGAAAGCAATGGCTGCGCACAGCGGGAACAAGTTTCAGGTCGAGGATTGAGGATCAAGCACCAAGGATACTCGAGAGGGAAGTCAGACCTGTCAGACCGCCAAGATGTGTTGGAGCTCCGATGGTCTTGAGATGGGTCCCAGCAGGTGCGAGACCAGTCTGGCTGCCCCCTTCGGCAAGTTCCTGACGGAAAACGGTTGTTGTGGATCTGCATGCAGCATGGTCCAGCTAGAACTTCCCAAGAAAGCCGGACTTAGGCTCAAGCCGATGGATGAGACTTCAGTGGTCTTTCACGATTACGCCATCATGCAGAAATCTGCACCAAGTCCCAAGCGCACCTCAGTGAGAAGAGGTGGCAACGAAGCAAGAAAGCAAACCAAGCCATGTTTACCAGGCCTGCTGGGAAATAAAAATGCTTCTTGCATAGTCGGTGCAAAGTCCAAGAGGGAGAGAATGATCGCCCAGGCGGCAAAAGCTTCCAAGCATGCCTGACGTATTCGGACAGAAGCATGAGACAGCTCAGCCGGCAATGCAAGGCAATGAGAGAGCTGTCTTGATAGCTTTGTTGGCCTCTGTCAAAGAATGCCCACCTGAAGACCCAGTCACACTCACAACGCGCAACTTTCCAACCGAGGCAGTGCGTCAAGGCAGGCGGGGCAGGCAGGGCTGACCAAAGAAGTCGCCTGGCTTCCAATCCAGTCTGGCAAAGAGTGGGAAGGAGACAGCAAGGTAGAGAGCGTAGAATGCCGAACCTCAAACTTGCACGGGACATGCTATCGAATGCTAATTGACTTCAACCACGCGATTGAAACGCAGCATGGCACACAACGATGAGCAGTATACACACGAATGACGAAGATCGCTTCTGACAAAAAAGAGTCCAAAGCTGCTTGCAGCCAGCGGCCGAGTGTGTACATCTGCTGGCGGTCATCAAAGGTGTAGTAGGGGAAGGCTGATATTGAGAACGTTTCCAAAAAGGCAGTGCAATATGCCATTACGCACACCTGACGACAGAAACATTGTGGAGCGAAGGCTTGATTGATGTTGAAAGTATGTTCAGGCTTTTCCATTGGCGTTGCTATGCGACTTTTCAGGCTGTATGGATCAGGGCCTCCGCAAGCCTTTCCGACCTCCACATACAGGCAGACTCTAGGCTTTAAGTGTTTTGGTTGTTCCAAGCAGCAATTCAATTTGATTGGACTTGCGTGACTCAGATTTACTTGTGGCTGCATGTCTTTCACTGTTTTAGCGTTTCCCTCACTGAATATACACCGAAGAATCCTACATTAACAACCTGTAATCTGAATACTCGCCATGTAAAGACATCGTTCTTGCATTGATTATTGAACAAATCAAACCTGCTTGCCAAGGAAGGCAATCGGGCTGTCACTGCTGTTCATCCAGGAAGTTCGCGGATGTTCAGCGATTTCACGGCTTACACGGGGTGTTAGTCTTGCCAGTCCAAAAGTTGTGAATCTGAGACACTAGGAGGCATTCTAGTGCCAACTTGTGTCAGCTTGTCGTGCAACTTTATGCCAGAGAATCGAATGAGCCCACTTGCTGGGTGCGATTGACTTGCGACGGTAATTGCGACGGTAGTTGCAACTCCGGTGTGGTACGCGGGTGCGGAGGGGGTGGGGGTGGGCAGTGATTCCAGAATGGACTTGTACCACTAATACTACACTACACTCAATACAGTCAGCCACATCGGCACAAGGAGAAAAGACCTGCTGCTTGAATGACAAGGTGCAACGGCCACGCAGAAGGTCGTTCGCGCCGCAGAAGGTCGAAATTCAGTCCAAACCCAGCGCAGAACTTTACTTCCAAGTGCATGATAAAAACCTGCAGCATCTGCCATGCCCACCTCGTAAACAAAACCAAGTTGGCAAACTGAAAACCAAAGCCGAAAATGCGGTCTTGTTGCAGAAATAGAGATGTGTTGCCAAGTACCTTCAACCAATGCGCACATTTCAACATGTTTCAACGTTTCAAAAACGACTGAGCACTCACCGGTGTCATGTCACCGCCTTGAGAGTGCAAACATGGCAGATCCCATATGGCATGCGAGCGGCATGCACACAGGGACTTTGTTCAACTGGTGATCCGGAAGGAATGGCAAAGTATACTTCCTCATTTCAGTCATGAATTGCAACTCGGCACATGCAGCAAAGCTGAACGTGATGGGTGCTGGCATGCCTCGCTTTCAGGACGGAATAGAAATAATGTGTTCCCCAATAGTTTCCTTAAGATCATACATGGTCCATGACCCACCGGGCCATTACATGAAGATCATGCTCATGCTGTTGAGAAGCCCAAAAACGAATAGATTGCAATCCACACATTTGCCTTGGTACAGTGCCGCTCCATCAGCGGAAGATCTTTCTCACCTGGCCACCCCATAAGCTCAACGATTCATACATGCATACGTGTCCGACTCGCCTGAGCAAAGCGTCAACTCTTTTCGAAGCGGCGCGCCTGTGAGAGATGGGAAGAAGAGTGGCTGCAAAGCCAAAGGTGCTGCCAGTCCCCCAGTGACAAGGAGGTAGTGCCACTTGCCCATGTGCTCGTAGAGTCCACATGCTATGATTACCTTGAGAGAAGGGTCTGAATATTGATGCCACAGAATGCCACAGCTGGATAAGTCAATTTTGTCGGCCAAGGGTCTGCGAAGCAGCTGATCCAGAATAGTCCATATGCCAGAAACCAGTTCTCGCACTTCTCTTTGGCAGTCAGCTCCTGTATGAGACATGTACATCCCTTCAGAATGAGCTTTGGACTTTTCTTTGTGCATCTGGATCACTGCCGGTAGTGATTTTCTCATTTTGTCCCAGATCCTCCTTCTTGCTTGCTGGTGCTCTTTCAAGCAGAAACGAAAGTCCCGACAGCGCAAGGAACTGAGATGCCAGGATTGGCGCTAACGCAGGTGGAAGGTCCATGGCTTGGTTGCCGTATGCTAGCAATGGAGCGCAACATTTCCTGAAGTCAAGCCTTGAGAGATCTTGAGAGGGCTGTTCAGGGACGGCAATGCAAGCAACTCATTCCATGTCCTCTCTGAACTTAGGTGCACGAAAGCTATGCTGGAGCCATACCCGGAACCATGTGATGGCCTCTAACATCTTCAAACAAGCAGAAGTGGAAGCGCGATTTCGTTCCAAATTACATCATGCTAAACAATGCGTGAACGCATGCTGCATCTGGTAAGATGGTTCGGACATCCATATCCGCCGACTACCTCCAAGTGACATGAAAGTCATCACAGCCAGCGCGGGCAGGGCGTGCTCTGGTGTCAAGAAGACGGGCATGCGGTCGTGCACCTGCAGCGCGGCGACGTAGCGACGCTCTAGCTGTAACCTGCTTGCTCTCACTTGTTGCCGCTATAAAGGACGTATGTCATCGTGTGTCAAGGCACTTGACAGGTGTGTACTCGCAGCGACGTTTATGAACTGTCCGCACGACTTCCTGAGAAGACACAACCATTCACTGCACCGGTTTGGCATCCAATTCCATCCTGAGAAGAACCATGCACACGCGCGGGCGCGCAATGCACACACACACACACACACACACACTCATTCGCTCTTGTGCGATCTTTTTGTGCTATCTACGCTGCTATTTATGCACTTCATAGAATTGAATTTGCTTGCTGTACTTTGCGAATTGAAACTTGGCGCAATTCTCTTTGGTGTCGTTTTTTAGGGTTTCAGGTCCACTTTTGCTTTGTTCTCCGGACAGTGTCAACTCCAAGGGGTTCCAACGTTCAGAGTAAGATGGGCTGAATCGGCAACACCGCCGTAACACCATGGCTTTTTCTCGAGGCCTGCTTGCATTTTGGGAACAAGTCGCGAACTCGCCTGGCCGCGCTTGCCATCCTCGAAACTGTCACCGCTTTTGGACCTCTGGGCTCGCGAAATACGAAACTGTCGTCACTTTTGAGAATAGTATTGATTTCAACACTACTAATACTAGCAATGGTAGCAATATGTAGCAATGAGAGGAACATGAATGATCACAACATAGCAGTGATAATGAAAACCCACTGGAAACAACATGAAACAGAGTCGGAAAGGAAAGAATAGTCATCATAATGCAGATCGATGTTGTTCTTTCTGTTTCTGATTTTGCTCTTGCATTAATTCATGCTTTCTTTGTTCTCCTTCCTTCCTTCCTTCCTTATCTTGTTTGTTCTTTCTCTGCTTTCCTTGATTATGTCTTTCTTCGAGCAACAAGACGAAAAACAAAAACAAACAAGACTCACTGAAAGAGAAAGGCAAATTTGGTACCCTCCTGTTCCTCCAGCCGTGCAGGCCTCATGACGGAAAAAAAACATGAATGGAACCAATCAACTGTCATGACTGGCAGCATGCACGATCCATCACATCAAAACCTACATGTCCACTGCAAGGGAAACTGAGATCCATCTGTGATAATTGGCGCTATTCTGAAATTGATGTCTTCCTACCACCTTTTGCATCCGGCGTGTCTCCACATAAAGTTGACGGGAAGAACCAGTGATGATGCACAAGTCAGTGTAAGACCGCAGCGCCACCGCATCTTGCTGCATCTTGGGAACTTGAGTCTAATTACCTTTCATTCGGTCTATGTTGTCGCACCTGCTCCATTGCTGTGGACTCTGGATCCATGGTGAGGATTGTGACCTGTGCTGAGTCTGCTAAGTTCAAGCACAGTTGGACGCATGGTTCTGGAAGCCGCACAGACTCACCAGATCTCATCTCATTACTACATTGAGGTGTTGCTGCTACTGCACTGGTTGTGGAGGCTGTGTTCCAGGCAGACTCCAGCGACTCCGCATCACCCTGCGAACAAGTCACAAGCACAAGCTTGTGAGTCCCTTTCGCCAGTCTTCTTCAGTTCTCGCGCTTCTTATCTGCCTGCTCTCTTCTCTCGTCATGTTGTTCCTAGCCCTTCATGGAATGACATGAAAGCCTGTAACAGCAAACAAGATTGCGAAGGACTCCCTAACATGACTCATTTTTGGCTCCCCTACTGCGGTCCTTTCACACCCTTTCACAGCTACGAATCAAACTTTTAGCCTGCACGCTGGGTGGCAGCGGCTGGAACTCTGTTAGAGATCGGAGACTTGCCTTTTGGTGCCAAGTGTCGTACAGGCCGGCGAGGAGGAGTGGTGCGTGCTGGGGTCCGCCAACCCTCAGTGGCTGCGTCTGAGCATTTGAGGATTGCAGTGTTTCTTGAGGAGCTGGCTTGCTTTCATCCACTGGCTGTTCTGTCTTTGGCTCCTGAAGCATCTGGCCAAAAATCATATCAGGCAACGTGCAGCACTTCGGGGACATCATGTGCGGGCAGTGGTGCTTAGCGGAACTCAGAGGTCTACCGAGGTCTTGAGGCAGGTTTATCGTCTCGAGTGCCTCGCCCATCTTTGCAGACCACGGTATGGTGTGGCCGTCATACCTGAAGGTGAACACGGGTGAACCCACATTGCACTGGCGACCCATGAGCGGTACAGGTAGCAGGTACTTTTCGGATCTTTTCGGGCTCCAGCTATGGCGACGCATTCTTCCACAAGTCTTAGTAGACGAGGTGCGCGTCTCTATTTCGGATGAACATGGGCGTTTTTGTCTTCCCGTTTGCCTGACACCAAGTGAAGCACTGACACCATCGATCATAGGTTGTCGAATCATGGTTGCTTGAAGTTGCTACTCACCGAGTCGATGTGTCGTTCAACAACGTCTGCAAAATCACCAGCGGCCACTAGCGCAAGGCACAGGAAGTGGACTAGACATGAACATAAACACGAGAACCAGCAAGCTCAGGGTGGTCAGTTAATCACCACCACTGGAACCAAGAGAGAGGGAGAGAGTGAGAGTCAGTGCCATTTCATTTTCTGGCAGAGCAAAATGGGTGAGCGGCACTGAACTTGTTGCACCTGAACTGCTGCAAGGCCTTCCATTCGTAGAAGCCGTCGAAAAGGACAACACATCGACGTCTATCGAGCAGACGACGCCACAGGCTACTGCCCTCTGCACCTGAACGTTTCAGCAGCGCGATACCAAGGCAGGTAAGCGAAAATAGGCTCGAGCGGGTATTCTCTCTTGACGGCTAAGCAAGTCGCAAGCTATCAGTCTGTTTGCGCCTTTTGCTAGAGCTACAACAAGTGATCTGGTGTTGGCATTTGAAAGAACACGGCACATATCCTTTTTGATACGCTTCGTAAAGATGCACCAGTTGCGCAAATTTAGCGCGCGCACACACATTTGCACATTTTACACCGAACATCTTGCATTGTGCCTTTAAGCTCTTTTCAAGAGTTTCGCCCCTGCATCTGCTCACTGTAGCGCGCATCTTTGAGGCAGCAAATGGCAGCAACTTCATGTGGATGGCAGGTCAGCAAAACCAGCACAGTTGCATCGCACGAGCAATGTGCTGCGCAAGCCTAGCTCTGGGACTTGCAGTCTAGAATGCTCCGAATCAAAGACCCCGGCTCCTCTGCCCGAGTACGCTTGAAACCTGCCAGCTTTGGTGCGGCCTGAAAGCTCGTGCTGGAAAGCCTCGGGGCAGAGCCCAGTTTTGGGACCTTACCGGGTGGACCCAGAAGAGGCCTGTATGGTGATGACATCCCATTCGCACGAACGGTGCCTGTGCCTGTCGTTGAAACGGACTGGAGCAAGGGTCGCTTCAAGGGCCCTAGCAAAGACGCAGGATTGGTCGGTTTCGCAGTTGCCTTTGGCTTTGATGCAAGTGTCTGAAACACCGGTGACGCCGGTGATGGAGTTTCGGAGAAACTGCTGATAAATTCCTCCAAGGTCGTGGAGCCATCATAATTTGCTAGAACCCACTGACGTTTTGGTGCCGGAAGTTTTGCCAATGATACCTTGGCCAGAACAGGCACGAGACCATGCTTGGAGATGAACTCGTCAATCTTTTCCAGCTCAGCAGTAGTACTTTTCATGGAGACGCTCATTGCACGTGGCGCTGCCTTTTCCAGCCTGCCTGCCTTGAGCGGTCCTGCAGATGCTGGCCTGATCGCACTTGTTCTGGGCTGATACGGTGCATTGTTTGGAGCTGCCCCACCCGCACTAGTCAAATTTGTGAAAGGTGCTGTGGCTTTGGCCTTCACAGCTGGTCTGTAGAGGGTGTTGGCCGGCTTGATTTGAATGGGAATCGGCTTGATTGCAGCGGTTGCTGCAGACATACCGCGCGCATTCGTGGCGACGCCGTTCTGCCGAGCGACTTGAATGCTGTTGAGTGCAGGCGTCCACAAACGCTTCACCCCATTCTCTTTGGGCATGTCATCCGGTAATATAACATCTTCCAGAGGAGTAGGCTCAGGTGCAGAGGCTTCTTTTCTATGAGCTTCCAGCAATGCCAGATCAACCTCCATGACGTCTAACTGCCACCGCCCATTCTTAAAATAGTCGTGAGGGTTGGCCAATGCATACAACTGCAGCACCCGCCGAAACATTTCTTCTCCTCGGACCTTACCTTCCATCCCTTCCATCCCTTCCATAGGCGGTCCATCCTCTGCGCTCTGCTCATCAGGCTCGTGAGGCTCATCCGGCTCATCCATCACAACGAAATGAGCACGTGAGGCACTGGATCACTTCAGCATTAGCATTTTGCCATATTTTGTCGTTTCCTTGCGGACGTGCTCCTTCCGGCATGAGAATTACTTCAGAAATCTTCAGAAACACCACACTTTGTGTTCGTGAGTACGAAAGAAAAATTCAATCTCTCTTTTCAATGGGCTTTCGACTGAGCCTTGAACCAAAAAGTTTCGACGCAGCAGCGCAATGCATGCATGGCTTCTTGTTGAGTTGTCTTGTCAAGGTGATGGCCCTCTGCATCCCTCTGCGACATGTCGAGGACATGCTTTTGTCAAACTCTGGCTGTGCCAGAGTGAGAAGAGATATGAAACGAAATGACATATCTTCTGGAACTAATCGTGGGAGTTTGGCGGGAATACATCAGGCTTGCACATGCTTGCACCAGAAATAGCATGAAGTGTTGTGGCAAATTACTGGAAACTAGTGGAAACTGCCCGTGTGTCCAGATACGGACCCAGAAGGAGCAGGTTGTGAGCAACGCCATGCCAATACATGTTCTGCGAGACATTTAAGACCCCTTCAGTCTATGACAGCCTACCTGTGCATCATGCCTACCTGACACAGCACCGGATTGTTCCGGCTCAGCATCTTGGGTCGAAGCCTTCGACTCGGGCGTTGAAGGTGCTGCTGCCACCTTTGAAAGCATCGAAGTCCTGCATGGATTTCAGCTCCACCACTGCATCGCAACATTGTGACCAAATCAATCTGCAGTTCGGGATCCCCCGGATGTCAGCACCCGCACACAGGCAGACCTCCACTCGCTTGGCAAAGGAAGGGACCAAGCCCCACCGCATGGCGCACACCTTCTCCCAATGCTACAGAGGATGCGACAGAGGCGTGAAATCAAGAAGTTGCTCTCAGAACATGCCACGTTGCGACGTCACATGAAGTCACGATAATACTCTGAAAGGTCGCGTGCGCTCACCTCGCGGCTGACCGAGGCGTCCTGACCACCTTAGACACAGATCAGATTGCGACGTTCAGCGGCTCGAAAACTGCAGGTCCTGAACGGTCTCTCCCTGACAACGTAAATTTGTCCCTGCTACGCGAAAACGTGCCCGCCTCCATGACTCCCTTCTGCTTCGACACTGCGAATCACAGGGACATAGTTCATCGGACCCAGATTGTACCTGTGTTTTTACATGGCTGGTGCTGATCGAGCCCTTGGCCCCAAATACACCAACCACAGTGGGTAAACGAGTTGGCAAACCACCCGTCCTAGCATTTTGCCTGGCTTTTCGCGCACTTTGTTCGAAGGCGCTCGCAGCCGCGTACTGATGTCTTTCCGCCATGTGCCTCGGCTGTAGAGCTGAGAGTGTTGGGATATGCTGGGATCAATCACTTGCAGGGTCTAGGAAGCAAACGCCAGCAATTCTCCGGCAGCGATCTCCTGAGAGGGTTAGCCTCAGCGCGAGATGTCCAACCGTCGAGTTCGGCAGCGGGCTGCTCATGCAGTGCCACCATTCACAAACTGTCAAAAGCTGAGCAAACGGCGCCCCGCGACCGCACATGACACCGGCAAGGCGTGCTAAATTACAGTCTAAAAACAACAGCTGCGCAGCATGGGTGTGGCGCTGCTAACACAGTGCAGTGAATTCCCCTGTCGCTTCTGCATCTGGAAATGGAATGGCAGTACTGATTGCCAAATCACATGCGAACGAGAAATGTGAAACACTGGGACCGTGTCCCAAAAGCGAGCACTAAGGAGTGGGTTACCCACTGAGCCTGAGTGCCCCTCGCCGGAACGCAACATCTGCGGTGAATCACATCACATGTGCAATGAGCTTCAATAGCTCGCGTTGCTGCAGTCATATCAAAGCTCTCTCCAAGCTGTATGGACCCCTTTTTTTGCATGCAGCCTGCGTGATTGCATGTTGGCGTATCATTGCTATATGTAAGTCCCTAGACTCGCTTGCATTGGACCTAAGTTTTCTCACGCCGTTTCGTTTGCTGTTCGCCGTGTCGCTCTGACATCGGCCTTGCAGCCTTATGGACCTTTGTGTCATGGGCATGGTCCCGTTAAGTCCCTTTGGGGGTTCCCGCAGCAGCGAGTAGAGCAGCGGGCTTGCGCGAGTATCTCATGGCTTTCAGTGCTTTCAACAAGGTGGCCTCCTTTCGGGCCCCCGGCTCACTGCTTTGCGAAAGCAATCTTCAAAGCCATGTCCGGCGTCACCTTGAGATGCAAGGTGATGCAAGCTGAGAGTGTTGAAATGCGGCTGTTGATGGCTGTTGTGACATGCTGTGACATAGTGCGCTGGCGGCGACCGCCAGACCACTGCAAGCACATGCAGGATCGATGTGTAACAGTGTAACGTAGTCGTAACATAGTGTATTCCAAAGTTGAAGCACGGCAACCCCTGCGCATGCTCCTCAACTGTTGTTGACGTTGGTGCCGACGCTCGTGCCCGAAAGCGAAAAGCCAGCCCCTCCCCCCCCTCCCCTCCTCCCAGGTGGCCCAGCCGGTGTTTTTCGGCAGGATGACTTACATTCACTTGCCACAGAAAAAACCTCACAGTTTGGGGGGAGTTGCACGCCGCAATCTCAGATATCCTGGCAGAACTTATTTAAACATTGGGCTTACACTGTTTGTTGACACAAACTGCAGGCCCTTAGGCGGGAGGCCGGGGTTCAAGGTCAGGGTGGTAGGGTGGGGGCCCCTCACTGGACCTAATCGAGGCCCCCCCCCGTTGTATCACCTCAAATCCTTGAGATATCAGGCCAAAGGTCCCGCCAGTGTGGTTTGGCCCAAGACAAGAAGATTGTAAACGCAAGCTCCGAGGAGCTGGCTTTCGTGATTAGCAGCAGGCAAGACCCTTGTTCTACACAAGCAACTGAGCAACATCAGAATGGCTCATTTCTTCGTGCAGGACCCCACAACAAACCGGCGGTGATAGACCACAACTGTATTCGTAATGTGTGCCGTCGTGTGATCATGGTGCCCTGATGGGATGCACTTTGTGTGGTTGATTCGAGAAGGCTTTAAGCTCGTGGCCATGAAGCCCTGCAGACCATGCTTTGCAATTCCGGCCTGCGCTTGACAAGCTTGACAAACAACAAACTGGTCTTCACTCGGTCTCAAGCTTCTCTTCTTTCTTACACACAATGCCCACACAACGCAGACTACATGAGGGACCTGCGTTTGACTGGACAAGCAAGCTAGTTGTGGGAAACATGGTTCAGCCAGGTAACCTGATGTCGCCGCGGCGCGGAAGCTTGACCATCTTGACCCTAATTTTCACTGGCTTAATTGCTGCTTTGGGCATCCCGGTACGGCACCTGCAACTCGTCGGAGTACTCGATGAAGGCCACATTGCGACCCTTGATGAGTCGCGCCTGCAGAGAGCGCCCGACACTCATCTCCACGTACAATCAAAGGTTCTTGTGCCCCGTCGATGTACCATGCGGTGCGCTTCACTCCCCTGTAAGGCCTCTTGAAAGCCGGGATACTGCCTAAATAGCATGGTGAGCATGAGCTCGTTCACCTCGCAAGCAGACATCTTCGTGCGAGATATACCCAACTTCTCATATAAATGAAGAGCATCTGGCAATGGCCTCTGCTGGTAGATTCTCCACGAAGAGCACGTTGGAAGGCTGACCATCTGCTCCTCCTCCCTCCCTTGGAGCACTCGTGTCTAGCAGAACGGCAGCTGGCACCACGGCATACCCCGGCCACCCGCGAACAAAGCTAGGTCTGTTGCGCTGCAGGGTGGGCTGCCATTTTTGGCCTTGTCTTATGGGCTGTGAACAAACCCAGCTGAAGTCGGCTTTGCAATGACTGCATGTATCTCTGTCAAATTAGATGAGACACAGTCTATCCTGAGCTGATCGCGCTACGCTCTTCGGGGCTACGAGTGCTGGCGCCGTCTTCGCCCTGAGAACACGTGCAAGGTTGTTTTCCCGTAGGCGATGCGCACCCAACTTCCAGCGCCTCTTTGCTTCCTCCTTTTGGGCTTCAAGCTTCGCACGAGGTTTCCAAGTGCCGTCCTGGCATTGTTTGAGAATTACTGCGGAAGGATTGAAGTGAAGCATAGTGAATTTGTCACCCACTTTGGTCCTCGTGTGCTACGACGTCCGACTTCGTCCTCCAGAGCACCGTTGTGCGCAACTGAGCCTGAGCCTATGCTGACAAGAATGCAGCAGCCCAAGGCCTCTCCGAAGCTACCCGTGGAACACCAGTGGAACATAATGGAACAGAATGGAACCCAGTCTCCACTTCAAGTGCGTTGGCCATTTTGGCCATATGGGCCTGCAGTAGTTGATCTTCATGGGCTTGTCCAAAAACACGAAGCCGTTCAAAGATCGAAGCCTGGGTCGATTAGGGTCTCTGATGGTCTCCGTGCTTTGCAATACTTTTTTTGAAATGACCTCGAGCTAGGCAACCACGTGCCCGCGACCAGCTTCTGTGATTCGCTCTCCTTCGCTAGATGGTAAGGTGCGGGCGCATTCGTGGCGCAAGAAATGTCTCTGAAGACAACAAAGGCCTGACAAGCTTGTGTAGACTGGTTGTGGACTTTGATTGGGCACACCTCATGACGAAAGCCGAAAGCATCCAACCCGCATGGCCTGACCCTTCTTTTTGAGACTGGCAGCTGCAACGATTTCAATGACCTGTAGCTCAGCAGCATCTGAAGCAAGCTCTGTCGGATGTGGCCTAATCACTAAACTGCTGTGCATAACCTTCGCCTGCACTTCTAACCAAAATCCGCCGAGGCCTCGGGCCGAAGGTGTCTAGATTAAACAGGCACAAATCCTCCCCCCAAACCCAAACTTCTTTTGCCTGGAATGGGTCCCCGCTATAGGATTCCCCCCCCCTTCCCGTGCTAACGTATCTTAACGTCTAATTATTCTGCGCGTGATTTTTGTTTTCTTGGATTCTGCCCGCAAACCTCTCTGGGAGCGCGGACCACGCATGGATGTGTGGTTGACGGACGGGTTCGGGGGGGCGAGGACAAGGAGGGGGGAGCGCTGACGGGGAGCGTGACATTCGGTTGATGAGCAGGGGAGTGGGGGACACGGACAAGACAAGGGGTTCAGAGATGTATCCGGTTGAAGGGTAGTCACCTTCCGCGCCCTCCGCGAACGCCCTCCGCGCCCCCGCCCAGGACACAGTGTGCTGATGCTAAGGGTGCATTGAATTGCATTGCGTGTATTCAGCGGGTGCGTTGTGTCTATTCTGCGGGTGCTTCCTTTGCAAAGCATTTGTTTACAAGGCACGCACGTGCAGCATAGCCTTTAAGTGTCCATCTTACCCCCCCCCCCCCCCCCCCCCCCCCCCCCCCCCCGGCCCCCCACCCACACCCCGTAGCGTTAAAATTATGAATCGCCAGCATCAGGAAACCGAAGCAGATCTCTCTCTCTCCCTGCATTTTGTAAGTTGTGTTTAAAGTGAGGTCAGAAGCTTCGGCCTCGCCGTAGCTGGAGAAAAGCTCCAGGAGGCAGTTCTTCAACTCGGGCACCTTGATCTTCTCGTTGAGGCCATTGACCTGGCAGATTTTCCTGAGATTTTCTTGGAGATTTTGTCTTGCCTAAACATTTGTGCACGTGTCTCAGAGTCTAACATTCGATTGCAGTGGAAGTTGCAGCTTTCCAAACCAATGTGGCAGAGTGGCGTACAACGTCTGGTTTGGCGGGATGTCACCTCACAAGGCTGCAAGCGAAGCTCAAACTTGCCCCGTCCACAGCACATCCCTGCCATTCCGGATGCCAATGCTCTGACGTTAGTCTGAGTCTGACATGTTCTTCTGGCGACAGTCAAATGGTTGAACCTGATTGCATGCTGCTGGCCATCGTCTTTGCTCTTCGCACCAAAATGCGAATGTGAGCGCCCGTCATACTGATCCGCGCAAGTTGAGAGCGTGCCCAGTTTTTACCTCGTTCTTTGCATTCTTCGTTCACCGCTTGGTGAGTATAAGCCATTACCATTGAACACACCTCTGGGTCTCAGTCACGACAAAGGTGGTGAACTTCCCATGTTCTTCCGCGGACACTGTGCTCAAGCTGACATACTAGCAGCAACCAACGAAGCTTTGAACAGGGTTTTGCAAGAAGCAGCGAGAAGGTCCCAAAATCACTGTGGAAAGGTTCCAAATCACGTCATCAGAAGTACTGTATAAACTGTACGACACCTCCACACACACAGACAGACACACACAGACACACAGTTGACCACCCCCAGCCCTTCGGAGTCCTTCAACACGGGTTCTGCATTCCGCTTTTGTTGCCACTACGTACGCCACTACGTAGTCAGTCGGCACCACTCGCCACGTTTTTCTCTTTCAGATTTGAGCTCTGAGGGTTAGCCAGTCACCCTTTAGGGGCTGCTATCATCCTTCAGGGTTTTTAAGGATGGGCCCAATACTTTGTCTTTTTTTGGGTTTAGGATGGTTTAGGGTTTATCACTCACCGCTGCCTGTAGGGGCTCACTTGCTCGCTGCAATGCTTGAGGGTGCATGACGAAAGGTGTGAGCATTGTGATTTGTGTTGCGGACCATCCTAAGCCCTAAACTCGAATTTAGTCGAACCAATGCAAACAACCGTACGTCAAAGTGGCCCAAGCCTCCCGCCCGTTTCTATCATTTTCTGTCACACCCACACACACCCACACACACCCACACACACCCACACACACACACACACACACACACTCTCACACACACTCTCTCTCTCTCTCACACACACACACACACGCAACCAACAGAGGCACTTTCCAAGGTGCAGGCCGTAGTTTACGCCGCCTTTGCCCTGCGGTCGAAACATGGCTCTGGAGCCACCCACCGTCCCCAGAGAGCGGCAGCTGATTGAGCAGAACTGCGGGCGTTGTGCTACCCTTCGGCCGTGACGTGCCTTTGCTTCTTCAAAGCCTTTCAACGCAAACCCGAAGAAGCGCTTACTCCGAAGCTTACTCAGCTCGGCACTTGTCGGATCTTCACGAAAAACAAATGCTTGACACTGCCGTGACCGTTGTTCAGCTCAAGACCTTTCTGCTCCCACTGGCGCCCGTGCTCCACCGGTCACCCTGGCGCTCCACTCAGTCGTCGTGGCCCAGGAACATCAGCCTGGCCAGGTCGAGGTCGAGGGGTAGCGGAGTGTGGAACAAAAACCTCTCTTTGTTTTCAGAGCGCCACTCTCGCGTCACTGATCGCGGCCTGTTGTAGTTGTTCTGCTCGTTCGGCACAAGGATCACTTTGGTTGGCAGGCCCTCAAAGAGCTGGGTGGCTGCCTGGTCTGCAAACGCTCTGTGCTTCCGGGCTGCTTCAGAAGCTGAACACAATCGGAAGAGTAGTGCATAGGCCCCATGATCTAAGAATGACTTAACATACCCCGAACCCGTACCCCTTACTTAACCCTTGTTCTTACTTAACCTTTCTTCTAATCGGTTCATCAAAGAAGAATGCAAGGGTGTGTTTTGCACACCAAGGTTTTTCATGGTTCGGCCCATGCTCATGGAATCTGTTGACTATTTCCTGGACATCAGGTGATCTTGACTTGAGCCTGTAATGCATGCAGTTCACCAGCAGATGAACAAGATGCGTTCGCCTGCATCAGCTGCTCCGAGCAGCTCAGTGTCAGCACCTGTTGATGGCTCACCAGCAACGTTCGAAACACGAGCATGTGTTGAATATGTTCAATATGTTTCATGCGCGAGTCAAGTCTCCGCCTTGAGATGTGCGCCAGCAAGTACTCTTGCCACTGGCTGGCCAACAGCCTGCGAGGGTTGCTGAAGGCATGCATCACCAGTTCCGAAATGGTTGAGCAACGATGAACCACGAATTCTTTGCAACTAGCTGCCGAGCTAAAATATAACTGCGGCAAGTGTGAGCCATATGTGCCTTCATCCAGGCGTCCAAATGATGTGCGTTGGCAGTCAAGTCCTATCACGTCAATTCAGCTGCTTGCGATTTGCAATGATTTGCAAGCTCGTAGAAGCTGTCACGTCTGAAGCAATGCACCATTGGGTACAGATGAAACGCCAGTGTCTGCGGGTAGCTATAGCTGCAGGCTTATGGAAGCCGCTGACCGTGCTTGATTGAGAAATGACAAGAGCCCCGGGCTCTGAATACACGTGGCTGCATGCACAATCATGAAATCATGTGCAGTCCAGTGATCGCAAAGATGCTGCCGTTGCAACAAGCCGCAACCTGGTCTCCCAAATCAACAGCACGTGCATATGGTTTCAAGCTGCGGTTGGTCTGAGGCGTTGACAAGCCTGCCGGATCAATGCCGCAGCGGTAGAGCGAAAGGTCCTGAATGCTTTAGAAACTGTGTTGCGTGAAAAAACGACGAAAGCGAAAGCACTATAAAGCATTATATATTGCATTCTAAAAAAACAGAGGGAGGGTCCCCCATAGGTAGGGTCCCCCCATTGATGCCCTGTCCCGCAGAGAGGACTCTTCCAGGAGCTGCGCCAAGAGCTGGGCCCCGGCAGCTCCGACACCTGCGAAAGAGGAGGAAGTGCAGAATGAGTGCAGAGAGGAGAGAGGCCGAATCTCTCCTAAGGAGAGACCCGCGGGTTTCTGATTTTCATTGCTCTCAGTCATATTGGAATGTGTGTTGCACGTGTGTTTCTTAAGGCATCCGGTTGGAGCTTTCTTCCTTCAAGTGGAAGTACGGCGAGCAGGCTTGCCATCATGAAACTATGAATCCCAATAAGGATGTATTGGCTGGGTATCCCGACATGCCTTAACACACAATGGGCGCTCAGAGCTGCACCCCCACCCGCCAGCAAAGTGCTCTGCACAAAGATTCACCTCATTCCGCCTCCATCTGCCTCCCAAGTTTCCCTTCCAGTCATTTGTACCAGGTGTGGGGGGTTTCCCAGCCAAGACCTCCTATTCGTTCTGCTCAGGAATTCGTGAGCATTTATGATTGAACAGACGTATTCAGAATGCTGGCTCGGTGCCTGGAAGGATGGGGAACGGAGGCGGTGCAGGAGCCCCCAGTGAGAGCGTCACAGGTTCCGCGAAGGTGGTACAACATGGCGTCGTCGCATGCAGGTGGGAACGTGCTTTAGGAGGCGAACGCATCGCGCAGAGGCTTCGAGCGATGTCACGTGAATATCGCGGCACTGCCCACAGGCAAGAGCCTGATTTGGAACAACATATGCGCAGAGGCTTCGAATATCCAGCATTTTCGAGGATACTCGAGGGACATTGAGAGTGAGAGTGCGAATTGAGCGACTAGTGCAAGCATGTGCAAGTTCCGTTTTGGGAACACCGGCTGGGAAGCCCTGAAGCTTAAAGGGAGATGGGGGCAGGTCCTCAGATGCAATCTGAGTGCCGCCCATTTCTCTGATCCACGCGGCCGATCCGATTGGTGGTCGTGTGCTGATCTGACCGGTAGCTCGCAGATGTGGTTCGCATGGTGCTCTCTGCCTTGTGAATAGGATCTGGAATCTGGTGAGCAGCTGCAACAGGTCGTGAACTTGGGTAACTATGATGCGGAAACCAATCGCGAAAAGCTGATGGGGTGAGTTTCAGAATCAGGGCTGTTGGTAGACTTCGCTTGGAAACAACAAATGCAAACATGGGTTCATGTTCTTCCCCCCCCTAAACCCTTCCCGGCCATGAACACAACTCAAAGTCTCTTTTGCCAAGGTGCCGCATTCTGAGAGGTCCAACAATCGCAGGGTCGTGCGGAGCCGGGATGCTAGCAGGCATTGCCATGAGGCCTCACACGGAAACCAAATTCTCCATTCCCCCACAAAGTTTCAAGCATGGCACTTCTGACGCACCGCAATTGAACCGGGAGAATTTCAAGCCCCCCTTCACCTTGGACTTGCCGGCACGGTATGTTATGCTTGAATGAACTTGAAAGTCCCACAAATACCGACAGACTCTGAAATCGGAACGCGGGCTGTCTGGCACGATGTTCGTCGTGCGTCTGCAAGCTTCTGCATGTTTGGTTTTCGGAAGGTGAGAAGAGATATGTTGCTGATGTGCAACCAGCTATTTTGGATGCATCTACTTGTCAATACCTAGTGATCCACTGACGATGCAGTAACATGCAGTGACACCGTCGTGGCAAGACCGAGGCTTGCACATAGGAGACCGAGGCGTTCCCACCTCGAATCCGGCGCCCAAAGAACTTGAGGCTAAAGTGTCTGAGTATTGGGAAAGGAAATGTAGGACAACGAGGACAACGCGTATTCACAACGTTTGTAAGATACAGATGTAAACAAATATACATACGCACATACATATGTGCAAGCGTATAGGGACATATATGTAGCAATAAGCAAATAAGCAAGCAAAAAAAGAAACAATCACAAATAAATAGATAAAAAAAATATATACATATGTATATTGTTCGTTTGAAGCCTTTGGTAGTCGCATATCTGGATCGGCCAGTAAGAACTGCACGCCAGCGGCTAGAATACACACCGCAATATGATCTGACACAGTGCAGTGGGGGGTTTTGTTGATTAAGCTCTTGAGCGACCAGCTCGTTTCTGCAAAAACCTAGTGAAGTTTCTTCTTGACCACAAAGGAACAAACGTAGCTAAGACATTGCCCCGGTCTAAAGGGAGGGCGCTCCAGTGTGCACTCCGATTTGCATCCAGTTCGCACTCCAAACTCAGCATCAAGTGCGCACTCTTTGTGCATCCATCCAGTGCGCACTCCTCCAATCTGCATGGCTTTTGGGGGGCTTTTGGGTTTTAAGGGTTTAGGGTTTTAGGGGCTAGGGCTTTTTAGGTTTTAGGGCTTTTTTTTTTTTATGCTTGCCATGCGCATCCAACTGTCTTTTGATACAGCGGGAAAAGCGTCGGGGCGCGCGTTGGCGCAGTCGTCAGGCGATCACCGAAGGAGGGGTCTAGGTTGAGGTGCTGTTTGAGGCCTAAGGGGCCTAAGAAGTCTCTTCTGTAGCCTTCCGTTCTTGGGGGAGCGGAGTGGTCTATGTGGTGGTTGAGGTAGCGTATTGCTTCTGAGGAGACCAGTTCAAACCAATACCTTGCGGGGTGTCCGCGAGATTTGGACTTAGTGAACTTAACTCTATCCTTATATCCGGGGGAAAAGACTACGTGGTGCTGCGGCTTGTCTGGCGGAGTGGTAATTGATTGGGTGAGAAGTTTAAATTGACTGGACAGTAAGGTTTGGGATGGCAATACTGGCCTACCAGCGCATTTCCAAACTCTCTTATTGGAGATCCTGGAGTAATATGAGGATTTGATTTTCAGGGCTCTTCTGAGGTATCTGAAGTACCATCCATCGATAGTTTTGAAGTGGGTCTTTTCTAGGGTGAGGGTGGAGAGTCCATGGAGGTATGAGGGCACTATACAGGAATGGAAGATCCTAGATTTAACTTTCCAAGGAAGTTTGCTTTGCCATACGTGTTGTAGTTTAAGGAACGAGACATGCGCTTGTTGGGCTCTGGCTTGCAAGGCTGCTTTGGTCGGTTTTTCCCATGTTACCTGGGAACCGAGGTATTTGACGGACTCTGTAACTGGTACGTTGCGGCCATTAGCGAATTTGATTGTGGCGGGGTGGTTAGGGTGGCGGAGTAGCTCGGTTTTGTCGAAATTTAGGCTGAGCCCATAAAGAGATGCCTCTACTTGAACAGAACAGAGCATGTCTTCAAGCTGGGTAGGGGTAACGCCAATAAGCATGGTGTCATCGGCGTATTCTAGGTCATGTACCGGTTTGCCTACTGACCAAGAATTTTGCGGAGTACCTTGTGTGCGAAGCCGTCTATCTACGTCCTCGAACATGACACTCATAACCATTACAAATAGGTAAGGGCTTAGTGGGCATCCCTGTCGGATGCCAGTGTGCGGAGTACCCCATGAAAGGTCACCTTGTGTGCCCTTTGTACAGAAGGAGGGAGTCTCGGATTACTTCGAGGTATTGACTGTGTAATCCAATTCGCCTAAGAGCGATCATCATGGCGGAGTGGTCAACTTTATCGAAGGCCTGCTTCCAGTCAAGGAAAAGGAGCTGGAAGGGTTTTGGCGGAGTAGTCTTGGAGCCTGCGGGCAATAAAAAAGGGGTTGTTGTGTACCCCTTTTAGCTCTAAATCCATACTGGGTTTCCCGAATTATATTGTCATGGGAGGCGGCTATTCTAGTTTGTAAAAGAGCAGCGTACAGCTTATAGTACGCTGAGAGGAGGCTGATTGGTCGGTAAGACGCAGGGTCCGAATCAGCTCCTTTACCTTTGTAAATGCTAACTACTGGGGCTCGCTTCCATGACTTAGGGATTTTGCGTTGGTGGAGGCAGTTATTCATAAGGCGGAGTAGTTTGTGCTGATTGGTGTGGTCCAACTGGCGCAAGGAATCTGCGGGGATGCCGTCCAGTCCAGGCGCTTTACCTGCTCTTAGTTTGGCGAGCGCGGTCAACACTTCTTCTAAGGTGAATGGTTCTGGGGCTTGCGCTGGCGGATTAGCAATTAAGGGGGAGCTATCAAGGAGCTCCAGTTCTTCAGAGGAAACTGTGGATGGTCCCCACTGCTGGGTTTCTAAGTGTTCTTTAAAGACCTTATGGGTTGAGGTCCAAGGAACTGGTCGGCCGAGGCGTTTTAGTCTAGTGTGTTTAGCGCGGAAACCCCTTTTGAAATTTTGGACCTGTTTCCAAATAGTCTTGTGTGCTGTGTTGGTGTCCTTGAGGAGGTTATCCCTG